CCTGAAAGAAAATAATCCACATTTAGGAAGGTTTTCCACTACTTAGAAAGAAAATGAGGAAGGACATGAAAATAGACAGGTGAAACCTTGACTTGAGCTGAGTGTGCCACCCAGAGAAATGTGAACCAAATCATACAGAACAATTTGAATGATGTGAAAATGGTTTGAGACAGTTTTTGGTACCAAGCTCCCCTTGCAATCCCACCCCTCCCAAATCCCCCAAAGCTGGGAGCTTGACTTCAATATATACAGTTTATGCCCAAAGATTTAACATACCAGAAGACACAGCAGCCCCCACCAGAGTGCAGAAGGCTCCATCTCCAACATACACTCATTAGATTACAGCAACTAATTCAAGCAATTTTCTGCATTTGCACTGCAAACTGCACTCTCCTCCTCAGCTGACTGCCTCTTCTGGGTTCTGTTCTAGGGCTCAAAGTTACTGCCATGAAAGCGAGCATTAACTTAACCCCCAAATCAAATGATTCACAAGCAGTGATTTTCAGCTCATTGGGGGCAGAAGGCAGACGCTCCAATTCCACAAAATACCAGTTACTCAGATCAGAAAGCAAGAACATGCCTCAGCTCTTTAGTATTGAAACAGAAATGAGTCTATGGCATAGCAACCATACACATAGGTGCGAACCCACATGATATCCCACTGGAATGAGGGAAGAGGGACAAACACAGAGCTAGGGTGTTGTTAGTCCTTACATTATCACAGACATTGATGCTGCTGGAAATCTTTATTGTGATGCCCTCTCCAGCAACACATTCACATTCACACACCACTGTAAAATGAGGGGAGAGATGCAAGGAAGAGCGCACTGACGGAATAATGGGGACTGAACCAGTGCCATAGTCCTGTATCACACATCTTTCTGGGTACTTTGTGAAGCAGCTGAAATCAGTTCTCTTTCTGGTGTGATAATGTTAAGGCTACGTGAACTCAACTTCAATTCCTCTACCAGAAACTGCACGCCTTCCCCAAAACTAGCAAATACCCAAGACCAAGATCAGTACTTCTGCATGCTTTTAAGTGCCAACAAGCATGTTAGAGCAATAAATCACACTATGCTGTGTTACACATAGGGTTTGTAACAGCACAAGGCGATTTGCTGCAGGTGAGAGATGCTCACTGACTGCAATTTGTAAGCACTGTATGTGCACCTAAGGGCACAGGAGCTAATTATTAATTAGAAGACACAATGTACAAGTGGTGATTATACTCATAAAACCAAGGCACTCCCACATGGTGGGAATGACATAAATCAGGAGAATGGTCCAAGCCAAGTGATAGTCACAGACACAGCACTCATAAAATGAATGAGCCACACCACTGTACTAACACTGTTGTTGTTAGGACACAAAACAGCCCTCTACTAGCCAGGCTTTATGAAGCACCCTGAGACTGGGCCAGCAAGAGCAACAACCCTGGCATCACCTGCAAGCTCCATATGTCAGAGCTCACTGATCACTGACACAGCTGGTGCCACGGGTCGGCTGTAACACAGCTGGTTCCACGGGTCAGCCTCCCTCACACCTCACCTGGTGATCAGTTTTCCTTCAGTCCTCCAGCTCTTTCAGAACTCAGCCTGAAACAGTCATCTGAGGAAAAGCTCAGGCTGCACCACGCTCCAGAAGCCAAATGGAGCATGAAGATAAAATTCTACGTATAAGCTCCTGTCATCCCTTCAGTTTACTACAATAATACTTGTTAAATGCTAACAGACACATTCTCCTCACAAAGTGAAAATAGTGAAGGAAAATGTCTCACATAATGACAGAGCAATGGTATTTACCACTATGGATTCCAGAGAAATCAACTATCCTTGTTTATCACCAATGACTGCAATTACGTTGTCAAGTGATAGATGAGTGTTTTGATTTCCTCTTCTTGCTGTTTTTTTTACCTTCTACTTACATTATAAACTTGCCACTGTTTATTTATGTACTATTACAGGGCCATTGAGAGGGGTTATTAATGAGCACATTTAGTTTTCAAAGCAGTCAGGCCATGAAGGCATGCAAACAGATAAAGCGTATGGGCACCAGTGTATGGTAGTATTTTGCCTGAAGCCACAAGAAAAGAAGAGCTGCACAACAGGTTTCCTGCTAAGATGGTAACAGAGGACACAATAAACTCTACTCACACTCATGTTTTTAAAAGCACTCATAAAAGGCACAATAACGTTACTCACACTCATGCTCTTTGCTGGATCCTCTTAAGATTAAGCATCACAGAGCAAAACAACACATATCAAGGAAAGCATAGGCTCCTTACCAGCCCAGGGACACAAAAAACAGCTGAGGAGAGAGTGCACAGCTTTTAAGTGTTATACTCCCATAGGATGTAAATACTTGGCTCGTTCTCTGTGCTAAAACAGGTATGTAATTCACAGTAGATCTCCACTGCTTCCAAAGTTAGGGCAGTAGTAGCAGAGCTTCCCAACAATCATCAAAACAGGTTGCAACATTGGGTAGGAAGTTGTCTTACAGGATACAGTAACACCTCCAGCTCCTTCTTATTTAATAATCTACAGTTAATACAGAATAAGAGCATCTTTTTGTTGCTGTTATCACTGCATGGGCATATGTTCCCTGACGGCTCTAAGCTTTCAGTACGCACAGGTATCTACTTGCAACAGGGCCCTTGGTTTGCCTTTTCAGACAAATGAGCCCATCTCTTAGCACAGAAACTGTTGGCTCATCTGAGACATGAGGACTTGGTATTTGCCTGATTTGGTCTGCTTTTATTTGACTTTTAAAAGCACATCTATACTTGACAAGCCACAACAACCTTCAGCTATGTCGAGGGAATATGCTATAAACACTCAGTGCCAGGGCCTTTGCTAAAATCTAAAGTTACTTCAGAAAGCACTCCTAGACTTTTCCAAGAGCAAATTCATAGGTGGGCTTAAGGCATTTAGTGTCATCACAGTAACACTGCTCTTTGAAATAAACTCCTGCCTTTCTCCTGCATTAAGTCCCTTCATTAGGGATGAAAGCATACAGAAAATACAAAATACCATCAGCCTTCCAGTGCCTTATGGAAGAACAGGTCTACTAGACGTTTACGTTCCAACCTAGGTTGTGTTCACATCAACAGATCTTGCGCATCGCACCCTGCATCTGCTCTATGTATTACTTACCTTCAGGACATCATTCTTTCCTTGAGCTATGAAAGCTCTTGTTCTTAGTGTCCAAGTGCTGTTGATGAACGAAGATGGAAAAGGTTTCATCTGCACAATGCAAGAAAAATGAGACCGATACCTACCTGAATAAGCAGCATGGACAAAACCACACGGCTCACATCCCACGCGCATCTCAAAGTGCAACTGCAGCATCTACTCTGACAGAATACAGGTTTCAACAGAAATGTTAAAGCTGAACGAGTGGAACACAAGGTTAACTATAGAGCTCCCCCAGTAACTGCAGTCATTCCTTGGATAATGGAGCTAAAAACTAACATGATCAGATCATTACAATTTCACTGCTTATGCCAAAAAGAGTTCTTTACCAAAGAAACAGGAATTGGAGTAGGTTGTTGGGTTTCCCCTGAAGATGAAATCTCATTTGATCAAGTTAATCTTAATTTACTTTTAAAAATCTGTGGTTCCCTTTGAGCTAGTATGTGATTCTTGGTGCTTCCCAAGGCATACACTGAAAGTAAACCCAAAATACAGCAACTTACAGGAAAGGATCCCACAGCCCTGGAACTTCTGGTTGAGAAACGAAGTAAGAGAAAGCATCTCTCCTTGTGATCATCCGTGGCACTCCAGGATCATTCCCAACGGAGTTAAAACTGACAACAACAAAGCTCTCTAAGGAAAGGCTACATGGATCCCATTAACCAAAGCAGAACAGCAGGCTGTGCATCTGACACCCCCCAACTTACCTGTGTTCAACAGCAAGTAAATTTGAAATGCTGCAACTTTACAAACGTGTTTTGTAATCAGGAGGTAGAACATCAAACACCTCTTCAGGAAATGGCAGCTATGGGGAGCAGCTCACAGGCTGCACTCAGTAGTAGTATGATGGCCAAAACATGACACCCCGCTCAGTATTTGCTATGTGCATGAGCTTTCTGCATCCCATCCGCGCTGATGTGTGATGCCTGCACTTGCAAAGCCTGCGCTACTGATGAAGAAGGGGAAGCATGAACCTGATGTTGCTATTCAGCATTCTGATGCACTCATTTGGACTGTGTTAATTCAAATGAATCCAGTTAAGAGGATACCCTACAAAGCAGATATTCACCAGTTCACATATCCATACCACAGTCTTTAATGATCTCTCCCAGCCTACCACACGCCAACGGCTATACACAGCTTTTTTTAAGATGGCATGTGGTTTCTTCAAACTGCTACAAACCAAATCAGTAGCTTTGCATTGCCAGTTCCTGAACCACTGCAAGCATTAAGTGTGTGCTCAGATAGCACTGACAGGTACGCAAGTACTTGCTTCTGTACATGAGAGGATTTACAGCACTCAGAAGGTCATACTGATAAATAGTAAATCACAGAAGATGAAAAATAAAAGGAGTGTATTGATTCCAGCTATTATTCTTTTCCAATTCTCCCCACCCCATGGGGCACGTGGGGAGTGAGCAACTACAGGGTACTTAGCTGCCAGCTGGGATTAACCACTATTAATCAGTGGGACAGAAGAAAACAAGCATTATCATAAAGACAAACAAGAATGCAATATGGAGACAAGCGTAGACGTGGAGATCTCTCTCTAGAGAACATGCAAGGGATCCTCAGTGAAGGTCAGAACAAGCCGTGGCCACTGCAGTCTTCACACTGCTTTGTTACTGAACATTACCCATCCAAACACCCCCTCATCACACACACTGCCAGATCCCTCTAAAGAGACAGACAGCGGTTGACATCATCTTCCCTCTAGAAAATCTTCTATGTTAAACTCAACCTAACACTAAACCACAAAGACTGAAAGGGCTCTGGTGAAAAGAAGGAAACAAACCAAGCTCACACTGCTAAAGAGCAACACATTTCATATGCTTTATTTTGGACTGTTCTTCATAATTCTGTTTGATTTCCTCCCCATCCCCAGATGCCAAGGCAGATTTGGAAGTTTTCTTGAGGGATCAGAGTTGGCCAGAATACTTTCCACAAAAAAGAAAACAAAAGAGAAACTGAGTTTGTAGCATTCAGAAGACTCAATGGAACCATCTTCAGAACAGCCCTTTCAGTAAAGTGGAAGTTTTCACAGCCTGAGACAGAGGACAGAAGATCACTGAAGACCACTTTTTGGTGTGCTTTACAACCTACCCCTCAGACTCTCCTGCTGCTTTAAATACAGGTTCAAAATTGACACCGGTGAAACGTATTACCTGACCAAAATGGCAAGAAGGTGTTCAAGTCAGTCAGCCAAATTGCAATTCAGAGGTTTACTTTTATACAGCACTGCAAAGTTCATGATAGTAACAGAACGGTGTTTTCAACTACATAAAGAACGTTACGCATATGTGACAGATGGATCCTTGAACTGGAAAACCTCCTCATCATACAAGTCTTCTGGTAGCTGTTCATCTCCATCAGCAAAAAACGTGGGGAACGGAGGGTTTTTATTGTGGTCCTTGCAAGTAGGCAATTTGCTGTCTCTGACCTAAAAAGCAGGAGGGGAAGGGTAAGGTTCGCAGAAGACCTTCAAGAAGTGATACACTGGAAATCAAAGGAATCATCTGCATGCATCATTAAAAACCATCCAACAGCATCCACATTACACTCCTTTAGATAAAGAATTCCAGGTATTATCATCAGTCATTTTAGCACCAACCCCAGCTACTGAATTTAACATCACCTGTCATGGAGAGATTTTCAAAAGCCCAGCAAAAATACCCCACAAAAACCTCGAGGAGAATTCATCAGTGTGATAAATTTATCACGACTAGGACAGAATCAAAGCCTACCCTCGTGAATTCATTGCTCAGTATTTTAAAGTATTATTAATACGTGTGTGTAAGGATGGCTCATTTAAACCGCGCTTCTATGCCCCAGTTCTTTCCTACGTCACATACCAAGTGACATTATACAGTGTAATCGCCTCTTCCACAACCAAAACATGCTTTTGATATTTACAATACAAACTGTGGCAATGCATTTTGCAGAGATATGTACGTGTGCTGCGTTCAGCCCCTCTGTCTACGGCAGAGTTGAGCATCTGAACTTCTTCACCCAGGCATCAGTACCCGAGCTTGTCAACCACGAGGCTTTCAGAAAGTTAATTTCCAAGAACTGTAGAGCCACAGAGAAATCCCTTTCCCTTCCTGACCTCTTTATATGGGGAGAGATTAAAAATCTAGCCCCTGAAACTCCAATCTCTGAAGAAAATGAGGAGCTGGAATTATCAGCCAAAAGCAGTTTGTCTGTGGGAGAAGATAGAAAGCCGGTATCTCTGCAGAAAAAGAGCTAGCGATTCTCAGGCGATGGGATTTTACTTAATATTAAATTCTTCATTTCTATATTATTGTTACATGCGATCTGCCTCCTGAGCTGTAATAATCCCTTTCAGCCCCTATATTCAACTGGATTAAAAAAGTACAAATAGACTAGACCAAATTTTAGCACAGAGAAGATAAGCTCTCCCTCTTATTTTTGTGGTGGGCTTCTAAAGAACAGGAAGCTTGTTCTTACTCAACTGCACCCAAACCTCACATAGGACACTTTATGATTTACACCAGAAATTAAATAAAACCAGTTTATGCCCACTGAATGTTCTGACAGCACAACATTCACCAAACCCATACCTGCTATTACTTGAGCCTTTCCTGAAGTCCATGAGGATTCCTACACATGAAGTGCACAATAAATCTGACTTTAACTCTAGCTTTCTGGCAAACTTGTTTTGCTTGTTTGTTAGGTTTTCCTCTCCTGAGGAATTCCAGTTTTCTAAGTGCAGGTTTAATAAACACAAGAAAACCCTTTGCTAGGAAAGAGGGGGTGAAAGGCTCAACGTGCTGTACTGGTTAAGATGGCTACTTAGTTTTTCAAGTAGATATGGTCTAGCGTGAGGTGTCCCTCCCTATGGCAGGGGGATACAACTGGATGATCTTAAGGTCCTTTCCAATCCAAACCATTCTAGGATTCCTCCTTCAGCAGACACCTCTGTCAGAACAGCATTCTCTATAGACTTGTAAACAGCCCTGCAGAACTACTGAAGTACCTGTACAGGAACTTACACCATCTATCGACATGGAGTAAATGAGACGGAGGTCCAAGTCCAAAGACCTTTACTGCAACAGCCCCAGCAGCAGCGAGTTCAGAGGAAACCCTGTCAGACAGCTTCAACAGTGCCAGCTCAGCTGCTGAGGCTGAGCAGTCATCCTTCCCTTTCCATACATAGCTGCTGTTTCTTCTACTACATGAAAACATGTTTTAATGACTTCACCAGTTACATATTACTCCCCTTGCTCCCTCCTTTTTCATTCCCTAATTCTGTTGCACATCATAACCCTTCTTTGCCAACTATAAATCCTCCTATGGTCTCCTCTACGCAAGTTACAATAACATTAGGAAGATTATTTTATTTCTGATGACATATCATACATATCTTATTAAAATGTATTTAGTGGCTGTTTTGTTATTCTGGATTAGTCTCATCATTAAGCAATGTGTGCTGTTACATACAAGCTGTGTCATTACAGGCAGTTTTGGACACCAGGAAAACAAAAGGAATTTAAATGTTTGTTTTCCTAACTTTTTCCTTCCCCCCCCTCTTTTCCTAGAAAAGAATCAACTTCTTATCAGAGGGCTTGGGAGTGACACATCTGTGCTTACCTGGAAGCAAACCCAGCAGTCTAACCTTAGTCCTGCATTAATTCCATCTAAATGAAAGTAAGATTTCTGGTCAGCTGTTACACTGTATTTTACATATTAATGTTGAGTGGCATTTTGAAGATAGCGCCTCTTAAGAATTCTTAAAGTAGTTTTAAGATTCATATGGAACGTTTTCAACAGTCCATTGTTTCAAAGGAGTACAATACTGTTCGTTTTGCCCCTTTGAAACTCCTCAAGGGGTTGACAGATCCCAGAAGTACAAGCCACGTCTAATGTTGAAATGCTTTTATTCTAAGTAGCTCTTTCTTTTGACTGGTATAATTGGCAAAGTATTTCTTTTGACTGGCAAAAAGTCCTGCTCTTTTTCCATCGTCTCCGACATTCATTGCTTTCAAATGCAATTTCAGTTTGACTCCTGGAGCACCATCTCGGAGCAGCACTATCAAACTGAATGAATATACCTCCTTCTCCCAAGTTTCAAAAGTTGTTAGACAGATACTATTATTCCCATCAAAATGAAGAACTAAATTTCATTTTACATGGAATTTACTCTGAAAGCACCAATCAGCAACTTAAAACATGCTGTAATTTTTCTGTCTTCTCAAGAGAATTATTGAATGTCTCCCTTTACATTTATGAAGGGGGCAGCATACCAAAGGTCTCCTGGAGGTATTTCCTCAGATTCCTGCACAATCATTTCACAGTATGATAAAGGGCTTACACGGTATGCAGCAGCAGTTCCATTTGCCTATAGGAGCATGGACACACACAAGAAGCATGTGTGACCCAGCACAGCTCTTCCTGTTTTCCCAGTAACCTGGAAGCATCTCTAATAAAGGAGTAAGTTTTAATGCTCTGTATTACTAAAATCCAGTGAATTTATCTCTCACCCATAGAAGGAGTTAGGCCAAGAGCCAGACTGGTTGTTACCTTCCATAAAAGCATTCAATATAACATAATCAGTGGGCTTGCTCAACTTCTGTATTAATGCTCCTATATATTACAGTAAACATTACTACAAATAGGTGGTATATATAGCAGTATATATATGCTACTGTATATTCTCTGTAAAGTTTTTATATTAAGAAAAATACTAGAGAAAACTGAGATTGGAGCTGGTTGGAATTTTGCCACTAAATCTTTAAAACAGTCATAAAAGGTTCTGTAGACAATTAATGCACTGTAAATTAAGAAAACGCATAGCCCTTATGTCGACAGCATTAACAGTTAGTATAAATGAATACAGATTCAGTCATCAATTCCCACAACGTACGTAATATGGTCATAAACGCACATTAAAAGTTGATGCTTAAGTCAGAACTAACATTTACAGCTTAAAATAGCTTCAGACTGTGCTAGCAATCATAGCAAAGGTGGCAAGTTGTTTGCTAAACAGGAAAATGTGTTTAAATATAGAGAATGTTAGAAATAACCTCCTCAGGTGTCATACATTACCTAGCTCAGCTTGTCTGCTATTTTTGAAGCTAGACAGAAAACTGAATCCAAGAATTACATTCATTTCTGACCGGCCTTACTCTGTCTTAAAGAAACAAACACAAACTCCACACAACTCCATCAGGGTGCCCAAGGTATAAAAATCACAGAATCCTGGAATAGTTAGGGTTGGAAAGGATCTTAAGCTCATCCAGTTCCAACCCCCTGCCATGGACGGGAACACCTCACACTAGACCATGTCACCCAAAGCTCTGTCCAACCTGGCCTTGAACATTCATCACTTCCTGGGCAACCTGTGCCAGCGCTTCAACACCCAAAGGAAAGGGACAGGGAAACACGGAAGAAGTGAAGGCATCACACTAGTACTGCATGTCCTCACAGTCTGAGCACAGCACATGCAAAGGAAAGACTGCAAAAATTACCAGCTCAAGCAGAATACTAAAGCAACAGTGTACCTCAAGTCTAACTCAATTCTAGCATACAAAAAGGTCAGCCCAGTACCTAACTTGCTAAGCAACTCCTATGGGTTACAAGTTCTGCCAAAATTTCCGATTTCTCCAAAAGTGATATAGTCAAAGTGATTGACATTGAATGTCCTAAGAAAATCAGGTGCCTTAAAATTAAGATAGGTATAAAACATTACCAAAGATAAACTATAGCATCCTGAATTATAAAACATCACATTCTAGCATCCGCTCCATTATAAAGAATCTGCTTGAAAAGGGAATTAGTCTTGTGCTTCTTGTGCTGACAGAAAAGAGAACTTTGTGGTAATATACCTGGGAGAGAAACTCGAAAGCCATAAGCTTCCAAAAGAAAAACTAGCTGCTTTTTCCCTAAAGGATCAACACCAGAGATAGCCACTACAGGCCCTAATCTAAGTTACACCAAGAGAAACAGGTATTATTACCTGAGGGAGGCTATCTTGATCGGCACAACATGCTGATTTTCAAATGCTTCCTCTGTGATGTTACTTCTATAACAGAAAACTTCCATGCACCCTAGCAGACCGCTAAAGTTTCCTCATTCTATTACATCTCGTCACTGAGAAAGAATTCCATGCTAAAGTAAGCTTTTTCCATTAGTTTTCCAGTCGGTTAGAAACATTACTTATGTCAGTGATTTACGTGCATGCTTCAGTGTGCAGCACAAATGAAACCTGATTTCCAATTAAATCCGGAATCCATCAATCCTACTATTCTGCACTTTTATACTGCTGAAAATGAAACCTGACAAATTGAAGTGCTTCATCTCCGTCTGGATACAGAGCTGAGGCACTGAGTTTCCAAAAATACATAACATACAAAATAAATGTATGCTTTAAGGTGCACTGTGGTTTTAATGGTTACCAAGCAACACTAAGTGGGTACTGAACATAAATGCTTTCCTTTTAAGAGACACACAAAGAGAAAAGTATTATGAGATATTCCACTTTTAGAGCTCAAAGACAGATCCAAATACTCTAGACATTAGTCCTACCTAATTACAGGCATGTTTTTAGTGAAATGAACGGTAATTATGAATGCCAATATCCCATAATTTCTCTACCCAACTAAAGACCCAAATATCCAACAATGTATAGAAAGTCAAAGATGCAAACAAAAAAACAGCCTGGAAGAAAGGCACAAAATGAGCTAAACCCACCCCATATGAGTGCAGCAAGATTAAACGGAGAAAGAAAACCCAGCCATGGAAGTTTGGGTCTGTAGCACTTTGGTCAACATCTTTCCAATATTGTATTACATCAAAAGAGCCCTAAGGGACAAACCTCCCCCATTCTTCCCACAGATCTTCAACCCTCATTAATTAAATTAGCCGCAACTCTGAAATACATATGCCAAAATGCACAATTGAAGATACTTTGGCTTGTAACTTGTAGATAACTATGATGTGAAACATGTTCAAATACAGGTAACTTACACATATAATCAATACAAAATCTGTCTCTTGCAGACATCATGTTAAATGATCAGTAAAGCAGTCAGAAAAGTGCCTTGTACCACCAAGTTAATACTGATGGATTAAGTTTACCTGGAAAAAACCCCAAACAACGAAGACGTTTTAACTTTTGGTCTTTGGATAAAGTTCCAATCATCATCCATGATGAGTGAATCCAACAGAAATCACTGCTGGACATGAAAACCACTTAAAGGGTATGCAGCAGACTGCCATGGCAATCAATGTCCATTATCCTCTTCACATCACAGATGTCAACATGGTTGTTTTACTGTCTATGCTCAGATGGCTTGGACCAGCAATCTCCTCTTAACAAGGCAGTACTGCTGCCTAAAGGACTTCTTCAAGCTAATGGCAAGACTGTTATCAGAACAAACACAGTAAATACAAGGTGTTCAGGGGGATGCTTTCCCACCTAGGCAAGAGTAATGTCTGAGTGAAGAAAAACAGAAAGTGGAAGAAAAGGGTGGAAGTTACCCTATCATGAGAGAAAGCACGCAACGCTTCCAGTAGGTTCTTTTCCAAGAGGAAGTGTGCAGTGTCTGATCAGCAAGGGGACACTGATTTCAATAAATCTTCATGGTGTATTTAAGAATGTGTATTTAATAATAAAAGTTATGAGCTTATAGAAGTAAGTACTCTGTTCAGAGACTTAACGGCTTCATAAAATGGTGTATCTTTGCAGGGAAGACACCCGAGGCATGTACATGCAGTCACCACTGAATCATGTAAGCATGGATTTTAACAGCATGATCAGGAAACTAAGACGCACAACCTTTTGCAACAATTAGCTCTTGCTTAAAAGTACTATTAAGATCAAAGAATAAAGTATCAAATGTTACTTTTTCAGCTAGATTATGTTGCTTGTATATGTAACATTGCAATTTGAAAGTTAACACCCTACAACAAAATCACAGTTAATTAAGACTCAAATTAATATATATAGCAATCAGGTTCATGGCTCAGGATTAGATTAAACATTTAGCACATAGTTAAGAAAAGGTCATTCAGTCCAAAATATGGATGAAAAGCCAGTAAAAACTACAGTCTTAATTTATGTCACTGATGGTCATGCCCAGTAATTTTCCTGAAGTTATTCTGAAACCTACTTCTCTGGACATCTGTTAACTGATTTGCACTATCTTGGGAGAGAAATGTGTAATGCAATCTCCAGGCTTGGGCTGGACATTACAATCAAAGTAGTTTAGAGATACCCCACTCAGATAAAACAAAGCCTCGTTTCCAGTGGGAAGAACACAATGATAAAGTTCATTTTTCTGTGTGTAAAACACGTATCTGAAAACTTGCTTTACTTAGTGCCCAGTAACTATGGAGTTCAGCTTCATAACTAGAAAATACACAACAGAAACATGGATGCCCACAGTAAAACTATGTCAAGAATACAATAAACCAGTTGAAAACACAGGAGCCTGACAAACTTTGTAATCTCACTATTGACTCAGGCTAGTGTTAAAAGTGAATGGACCTAGCCCTGAAACACTCAGCACAGGGTTACAGTGACTGTGTTGCTTTAATATACTCTATATGGGTGCATAACCCCAGTGCAAAGCTAAGAACAAGGGGTTTAGAGTAGAGTGGTCACTCACTGTCTCCTTTAGAGAACTGACCCTACTGCCCTTTAATTCAGTAGTACAAGATGGGATTCTGAAGAAATGAAGATGGCATTCAACCAGCATTTGTTTTGCAAGAAAAGCTGTAGAGATTTGTAAGCAAGTCACCAGCACCAGTAAGTTGAAATGAGGAAACATACCTTCACCAGACAACTGGTGTGACCTGGAACAGACCCATTTACATAAATAATGTCATGTTTGGTGTTGATCCTCCACACCTAGGAAAAAAAAAGCAGACATTGAGCTTACTTGTTTTAGATATTCCCACTTTTACAAATAGTCCTGCAAAGCATAAACTGATTAACTGGAGGTGGCAGTGTGGGCAAGAGGATTATTCTGTACAGGCCTAAGCTTGCTATAGAAATCAGTCAGATGCTACTCTGAGTGCACAGCTTTCTAATGCAGGAGTTTATTAGAGGGCTTGTGATCATGCTATGTTTGGCCAAGCAGCTCTTGGTTCAGCGTAATACCAACAAGTACCCAAGTTTTCCCTGTAACAGCAACAGCAGAACATTTTTTAGTAAACTAGGGGTTACTGAGCTTTTTGTGCAAACTACAGAGCTTGCCTTCAGAGATAGAGAACAACAGCTGTAAAAGCCCAAGAAATGCTGCAGCAATGTACACATCAGAATCTGGACAGACTGACAGTGAGGACCATGAAAAAGTTAGGACTTCAAACAACTCAGACTTGGGTTGGGTATGAACAAGCGGAACAGGCACGAAAACATTAACTGAAAGTCACCAAAAGCCTGATTGTTTTCCCACTTGAAAGGCAGAAGTCAAGGGATACAGATGTGGAGGCACCACCTGAAATGCCGGTTCTCAGGGTACCCGTATGCAAAGGAGTTCAGATAATTTGTGATCAACAAGAAGATAGGAGGACACCTTTGCTGCTCATCTTTCCAGCTTGCTTAGCTCAAGCTCATAGAATCCCAGAATGGTTTGGATTGGAAAGGACCTTAAGATCATCCAGTTCCAACCCCCCTGCCATGGGCAGGGACACCTCACACTAAACCATGTCACCCAAGGCCTCGTCCAACCTTGCCTTGAACACCGCCAGGGATGGAGCATTCACAACTTCCCTGGGCAACCCATTACAGTGCTTCACCACCCTTAAACTGAAGAACTTCTTCCTTATATCCAATCTAAACTTCCCCTGTTTAAGTTTTAACCCATTACCCCTTGTCCTATCACTACAGTCCCTAATGAATACTCCTGTCTGGATTCTGACAGGAATGACAGACAGTACACCAACACAAGGCTACACGGCTAAGTCCATTGCTTGGCAATGCAACCAGGTTATACATATTAGTATATGTATACTAATACATATACTACTAGTATACTCAGAACTCACCTTTAATCCCAAAGATGTCCTATAGATGTTACCCATTTTACCAGGCATTTTCTTTCCACGATAAACTTTGGAAGCTTTCTAGATAAAAACAGGACCAAAAAAAATAAATAAGGTAACTGCAGGAGATACACTTAAAAACTCAAAGAGGAGCACCAAAGAAAATCTACTGGTATTTCCAATGGTGAAAATATGTACTACTGAAAGAATCTACTATTGACTAGCATTTTAAGTACCTCCTACTGGAGGTTAGATATTACTCTGTATGTTGTCTGAAACACCTTACCTCAATCATAAAATTGCTATAAATACTGTTGCATCAACAAAGGAATTCTAGCTTTGCTTAATACTTACTGTGTATAGATTCAGAACAAAATTGACACAAAACACTCACTCACTCACAGATTGCAGCAAATGGAAATTTGTTTAAACTACTTGCGGATGCTACCAACACAGCCTCAGAACACTCCTGCCCTGCGAAGCTGCCAAAATGAAGACAATACTGCAGCTTCCCCTCTCCCTAACCCAAGATAAAAGGGGACCTGATGGCTCCCTACAAGTGCTGACAGGAGGTTGTAGTGAGGTGGGGTCGGTCTCTGCTCCCAAGGAACAAGGGATGGGACAAGAGGAAACGGCCTCAAGCTGCACCAGGGCAGGTTTAGATGGAGCTGAGGAACAATTCCTTCCCCAGAGGGTGCTCAGGCATTGGAACAGGCTGCCCAGGGCAGGGCTGCAGTCACCGTCCCTGCAAGTGTTCACACAGCGTGGAGACGAGGCCTCAGTGCCATGGGTTAGTGGTGGCCTTGGAGTGCTGGGAACAGTTGGACTGGGTGAGCTTAAAGGGCTTTTCCAACCTGTTTCACCCTGTGATTCTCTCAATTTTATACTGATGTAAACCAGACTTTACTTTAAAAGCATGTATTTTTGAGAACAGGGTTTTTAATAACATTCCTTTCTATTGCTTAGTTTCTGTATCTCTTTTTTTTTTTGGCTGGGTATAACTCAACAACCAAAGGCAAGAATAAGTGCAGTAAATTCCACACTATTATCGAGGGACTTGTTTCAGTTTCCTGCACCACTCTGTTATTAATTAATAATGGGGTTTGGTTTTCTTTTCTGTGTGTTGCTTTTTTTGTGGGTTTAACGTGTACAAATAAAGACTTCAGGAAACCGGCTGCAATAAAGCCCTAGGAACAGGATTCTGTACTGACACATCCAGGATTACAACAACATCTGAGGTGGTCAACGCTACACTGCAAAATAAAAATGGAGGCATTGTTCTTCCCCATTGCATCCTTTCACCTTGTTTCTCTTCATCCATCATACCTATTCCCAATATTATTTCCAATTCGAGACACTTGGCGAAATTACATCCAGCATTACTGCTTAGGGAAGTTTAATTTAAAGAAAACTAAAGAGGGGTTGTCTCATAAAAATGAGCTCCACCTGCTAAACCAAAAAGTGGTGTATGTTCGAATATTTACATTCTTCAGCCTTCAGAGATAACAGTGCCAAGGTATAGAATTCGTTTTCCAGCAGAAATGAAGGCCTATTAATCAGTAGTTTATGCTTTCACAGTCTCAATTACTCTAACTTCATTTTCTGGTGCCTTTCTGCTTTTACTATTCTCTTGAGCATTATTAATAATACTCATTTAATTTTTATTTTGATTTCTCTAAGAAAAGCACAGACATTTCCAGTTCACTACTGTGACTCAGCTGGTCTTGATGCTGTATAACAAAGCCACTTTGCAAAAATCCCTCTTAGTTCAGCCTTAATATTGTGTAGCTTTTAAAGGGACAACGTTCTAAATGAATCTGTTCCAAAGAGCTTCTAAACTAGTATTATTTTTAGTTTCAAACCTAACAATGTTACTTTGTACTCTACTTAAAAAATACTTAGAAATCAACAAACTGCTCTGGTAATCTAAGAGTTCATTAAGCAGCTACACAAGGTGACAAAAGCAATCTTTGAGGTTCTGAAGCAGTATTAAATAACAGTTAAATCCTTGCCAATCTATAAATGCTGTGATAGAAGATTCTGAGAACATGCTTTAAATCATTAAGACTATTTCTCTCAGCTATACTACAAAAGACCACAATTTGCTCAGTTTAAATATGTTTTGCTCGCTTCTCAGCAATACAGAACACTCATAAATCAAAGCCTAAGAGAACAGCTACAGGCACTGCTCATTTTACAGGTTCCTGGACTTCCTTTGGAAGACCTAGGATCCTCTACTACCAGAGAGCAGATGGTAACAGCTAACTATTGTTTTGTGTTCGTTTTTTGTAAGCACTTCTAAAAACATTGAATAATGTTGAAACAGGAAATAATAATCCTCACATTGGTAGACAGTGCTCCAGGACGCCTGTGAGTTTTTGTCTGGCCGTGGCTTGCAGGCTGACCTTTAAATCCCCATCTTTTCATGACACCTTGAAATCCTTTACCAATTCTGAAATGGAAAATCATTAAGAAACACACCTGGGTTAGTCAGACTTCAGGTTTCCAGCAATAAGCATTCCTTTCAGTCAGGCTCATGATCTTTTTACCTTTGCAAAGCCCAGAAGAGAGAAGAACATAGTAAAGAAATAAATCTGTATTTTAGACCATAAACATGTTCTAGTGCAACAATTAAAAGTTGCTTTACAGAATAAGAAGCATTAGAAGATAGCCAAATAGGCAATAAGTCTAACAAAGTGCTCCTTGCTGTGACAGTCCTTAATACATGGTATTGCAGTGAAGCTTTCACCAAGTGAACACCAGAGCAAACAAACAAAACCCCAACCAAAACACCTGAATAAAAAGCAACTGTTCAATAACACATACCAAAACTTAATAACATCTAGAGAGGAAAGAGATGGCTGCTTAGACTAGCACAAAAATAAACCAAGGAACATCTCTTTTCCACACTATAATACACTAACTGCTTGGAAACAGTTTTGCGTGTAGTGAAAACATTTAGCTCTAGTGATCTCCCTGCTCTTGTGAGACCCCACTTGGAGTATTGTGTGCAGTTCTGGTGTCCTCAACATAAAAAGGACATGGAACTGTTGGAACAAGTCCAGAGGAGGCCACAAGAATGATCAGGGGACTGGAGCACCTCCCATATGAGGATAGGCTGAGAAAGTTGGGGCTGTTCAGCCTGGAATAGAGAAGGCTGCATGGAGACCTCAGAGCAGCCTTCCAGTATCTGAAGGGGGCCTATAGGGATGCTGGGGAGGGACTCTTCATTAGGGACTGTAGAGATAGGACAAGGGGTAACGGGTTCAAACTTAAACAGGGGAAGTTTAGACTGGATATAAGGAGGAAATTCCTGTTACGGTGGTGAGGCACTGGAATGGGTTGCCCAAGGAGGTTGTGAATGCTCCATCCCTGGCAGTGTTCAAGACCAGGTTGGACGAGGAATTGGGTGATATGGTTCAGAGTGAGGTGTCCCTGCCCATGGCGGGGGGGGTGGAACTTGATGATCTTAAGGTCCTTTCCAACCCAAACTATTCTATGATTCTATGATTCTATCTGTACCCAGCTGACAAATAAGGTCTAAACCACCACCACAATAAATAAAGCAGATTTTCAGAGCCCATTCCTGAATCACTTGGGCATATGATGGTATTACTGGCTTTGGAGTTTTCAGCTTACTGCAGTGACAGACTCAACAGGAAAAATTGCCCCACTACTGCATAAAAGAAAAGCCGATTAAAGTGTGTGTTTCAAGTGGCATTATCCCCTTCCAAAAGGAAAAGTCAGTCCACAGGGTTTATGGCAGTACTGCCTATTTTATTAGTTTCACAAGATGATCCTTTTCCTCCAATGTCTAGAAATCCTTTCTCTGCTGATGTACTTTGCAATGTTCTAGTCCTATTATTTAAAGCATTAGGACCTCCTGGCTGGATATGAGCATGCATAGAGCACTGTATATAGAGGCTACATTTTGCTTAGTGCCCTGATCAGAAAAGCGCTACCATTAAAAACCGGAATAAATATACAAATGTGGAAAACATCAACAGTCACAAAAAACGGATTTTTTCCTCTTCCACTTGAAGAATTCCTCTCTGATTGCTTATCTAGTTGCCCAGAGCAAGTCAAAACACAGTCAAACCAGCCACAAAAAGGAAAGACTCTCTAAAGCCACAGAAACATCAGAAAACAAGACTTGTACAACAACGGTGTCTGTCTCTTGGGTTTCCCCTTCCCTGCTCAGAACCTAGTGGTCAGTTAAACTTAAATTTGACACAGAAGACATATAATTGTTTAAAATAAAAATTACTGGCAAAAAAAGCCCTGAATATTTTCCTATAACTAAGGAAACGCTAAATCATGATTAAAGTAGCAATACGCTCGTTTGGCTTGCCAGGTGGCAATTCATGCGTATGGTTGCCACCAGCAAGAGTCCTTCCAGGCCAACAGATGGTGGTGCAATATTGGGATATGGAGAGGGTCAAGGCTATGCTGTGCCTCAAGCTTCAGCCACAAGCTGAAGGCTTCTGTGGGAGGAAGGACCTGGGTTGCCCAGGATCAGGAACACAAGACAGAAGCCTAAAGGATGCAATGTTGCCCTCGTTTGAATCAAGGACTTACTTATTTCTGTTCTGACAATGGTAACATTAAACACCATAATCTGAACAAAAAACACATGCACAAGAGCTATCTTTATTAGACTTGACATGTATAATGCCACTGTTGTTCACTATGTATTTACTCACTTGTTTGACTTAGCTTCACTGAAGCACGATTACCTGAGTCTCAGGAAGGAGCCACAGACAGCAAAGATGAGACGCAAAACTAAGGCATAAATGTTAAGTTAAAGAAAAAACAATCTTTCTCCAGAATAAAAAACAGAGTTTAATTACACACAGTTGTTGTAATCTGACCTGCAAGAAAGCAGCTGTTCAGATCAAGCACCTAATTTTCTATAAAACCTCATTTTCCAGGTTTGATACACGCAAAATGGCAGTACCTAATAAGACAACTTTCATTTAGAAAGCTACTGGAATAAAGAACTCTAATTAAGCAACAATTCAGTGTGCTGCTAACTCTTCAAACCTGGCTAATTTAAAAGACAATTATCCAGATGCTGTAGAGGAAAAGGATTCCAACTACTTAGCCAAATAACTTCAGACAACTGCAGAGCACACTTTCAGGCTCAGATTACACTGTTAACCAAAGATTAAATGAACCATAAACCCATCAGAATCACCACTTAATTCTGGCACATTTCAAACAAAACTATTGTTGGCTTTTACTCTGCAGTGACAAAATTTCTGAGGTCCTGAAACGTTCATGAAACTGGTTGTGAAGTGGCAGGAAAAGGAGGTATAACACAACTCCGTCTCCATAACCTGCTGGGCTATTGCTGTTAAGGCATGGTCCCACCTTTCCCAGTCCCCACAGTTTGGGCATCTTTCTACTGATGCAGAACTTCACTCAGCCGATCAGCAAGCCAGGGCATGCAACTGATCCAGCTGAAAACCAACCCACACTGGTCCTCATGCAATTCAGGATGCCAGTACTAGCAATAGAAGGTGGATGGGAACTCTGTGGGACCAAGCACCACCTCCCCTTTGGGCAGCAGCCTTTACTATGCCAGCTTAGAGAGGTCACAGAAGCACGGTCTGTGAGAGAAGTGCTTCTCAACAGTGCCCAAAGCGTATCAGGGCTAAGCAAGATCCTCAGGCCACAGGACTTCTGAAGTTTACTTCTGTCCCAAAAAAGGCACCAAGCCTTTCCACAGTTTTGAAACAGATCTCTGAAGCACCAAGGAAAAGCCTTGTCATTGCAGACTGCTATACAACATAAGGACTGAGCTTTTAAACTGCTGAAAGTAAGTGCTAAGGAAAAAAACCCCAGCACTAAAGAAGACAGACAACATGCAGACGCACTGCCTACTGTCAGTGCTCTAAAAGCTACTCTTACTGTGCTGAACAAGTTATGAGATTTCACATAAAAACAAACCACTTACACCTTTAGCCTTCCTGTTCTTGTCAAAGTGGTTTTCTTCACACAGGTATAAATAAATCAAAGCATTTCAAAAGCCTTAGACCAAAACTTCTGCAAGGAAAGTTTAAAAGCAGACAGCCCTAATAAATAACCACCCTACACTTCAGTAACCAAAACAAGATGCTAACCAAGACTTCTGAAATGTAGTGCAAGTATTTTGTTGAAGCCACAATAACTGAGAAAAGCTTGCTCATTTGTAAGGAGAGTATTTTTGCTTGACATTTTGGCAGAAGGAAGCATGCAAAATATCTTCCTCATCAGAATCATCGGGAGTTGGTTAAAAATGAAAATATCCTTTATATTCCACTATTATCTCCTCTTTATGGTGACATCAGTTTTCTTTCTTTCCCTTTTAAAGGAATAATTAGAATTGATAATGCTGTTTTCAACAGCACTGCTAGTTTCGCCTATATGATTTCAAACATTGCACGTCAGTGTTTCCTCCAGTAAAACAAGATTACTGACCATCTTAAATATGTAAAGTACATATACACATAAAGACATTTCTAAAAGCGTTACTCACAGCGATAGGAAGTTTTAGGAATTATATCTTTTAGGTCCATAATGGTTTGAATCAGAAAATGGACACTGCTGGAGGAAGGAAGGGGAAGTCAAACTGTTCTTCCTACTGTAACCAGCATTATATCCTTAAGCACCTTTTCAAAATGCCCCTATATCTTAGGAGCTTTCACTTCTGAAAAGAAGATTTTACAAACTAAGATGCAAAGGGTTACGGCTTTCTGGACCAAAGCTCCCCAGGTTCCCTCTTTGTTCAGTAGGGAGAAGCTGGCTCCTCTTGAGGAGGGGTTCAGAACACAAGTCTAATGTGAAACACATTCGCGTTTTTCCCCTCACAGTGCACCCCGACTGCATTCCCTCACAGTGCAGGCCAATTGCATAAGCCACAGAAAAAGGTTTAAAACCACACAGACATGGAAGACTGGAATGACTGCACATTCATACTGACAGAAAACCTACGACAAAAAAGGAAACAAATTATCTCTCTTTAGCTATAGAATATTCTCCTTCACCTGTACAGGAGGACGACATGTAATATGCTAGCAAAATCAGCAGTATAGACAAATAGCTAATTTCTCAAATGGGATCATATAAATATCTAGAGAAAACAGATTAGATATTGAATTACAAGATAGTATGCATTCTCTGAACACTCCCAAGAGCCCAGTCTATTTTTAGGTTGCTGGTATTTTCAAATACATATAGCAAAATACAAATAAGTACCCTGTGGCTGCTTACCAGTATCTTTCACATTGCTGAAAATCCCTTTTCCTAGTTCTTGAAATGCTTCTAGAAAAACAAAGCTTTTCCTCATTAACAAAGCATGACATTTAATTTACATGGAATGGCTGTATTCCTAATGACACAGTGCTTTGCTTTGCAAACAAGCTATTGTCTCATATAGGCTGCTCACTGAATGCAATTTAGAAGAATGAATAATATACCAGATTTAATTATTACATAAGGAACTTTGACATAGAAAAGTACTAATTCCAGTCAACTCCTCTGCTTCCTTTCCTCCAGAGGGTGCCCTCATAGGTGCAGCTGTATTAGAACCAACTCTTGGCTACACTGTCGTGGTTTCCCCATATACACAAAGCCCTGTGAGTCATAGCAGACATTTGTAAGTATTACACACATTTAAGACAATTACAATGGGCGATATTTCAACAGGGCCAGTTGGGTATTATGTCCATTACACACAAAATACAACATCAAATGGATAACATTATCACTGTAACACAGCACAGTAAAAATACACTTCACTGAAATACAGAGACAGGAGTTCTGAGCAGTGGAAATCACACACATAATAGAAGACGCACAACTAGTCTTTGCTGCAAGATGCCAGTTTATCCTTGGACACCCTTTACCACTTGTGCTCTAATTTGGCATTTGCACCGGCCTGAGAGGAAATCATTCCTCCCACATTAAAGACCATTAGCCATTGCTGGCAGGGAAATCAGCTGGAAAATGAGAGAGAACAAAAAGTGGAATTTGACAGCTCTGTTGTCCTGCTAAATGCATTCAACTACCTTTTTGCTTTTCTTTCGGTCCACATGATGCCTCTTTTGCATCTCTTCACCAAATCAAAATTAAGCAGCCTTTCTGGGAACTGATGTCTTTCAGCATTTACTCCCCGCTTCTGCATCCCCACACATGCTGCCTTATAGACCTTTTCACCCGTGCTAACCTTGAGGACCTCTTTCTCAGCTGTTTGTCAAGTCCTTCCATGCTAATTGTGTATGTGCACCAGACAGCACAGGCGGAACCACAGCCTTTCCTATATTATTTGTTTACCTACCATGTTCAAAAGTGAGCCTCAGCAGAGAAAGAGAACCTGGTATTTTTGACCCAGTGACTGCATGTAACTTCTGTTTCCTGACCCTACCCTTGCAACTGTATTTCAGCTTTTGTGAGCCAAGAGTTCAAGCCAAAGTAGAGGGAGAAAAAAGCATTCAACCAGTCTGTTTGAAAGATGAACTGTACATGTAAAATCATTAGGAACCTACGTTTTTGCAGTAACATCCACGAACTGCCCGGGGCGGAAGTGAGCGGCATACAAGGGAGTACCTTCAAAAGAAGAGGAGAGACAATGTTCAACCAAGTGCTGAAATCCTCTAACCACTACACAGTCATTACCATCCAGGATAACTACAGTCACAGGAAAGGAAACCAAACTTTGTTTTTATTCACATAATATCTGTTCTTCTTTATAAGCCTCACTGACTAAACCGGATGCTTTGTAGTCACTACTCAAGCATGTTTCTCAGCTCCTAGCCCAACTTCAGATGGGTAGGAAGGAAGGTTGGGGTTTTAATCATATGTTGCACTTCTGACCAATTGAGACAAAGCCCCAAATGATTAATTAGTTAAGACTCCAAATACACCAAGATGGCAAGAAAACAGAACATGCTCCACTTACAACTACTAGCACTTTACGAGGTGTTGACAGTGTGGCAAAGTACAGCTTCATCCACTGGTGTATTACCTACACACTAACCTTTAGTAGAACCAGTGCTACAGCAGGTCAGAGACTGCAATTCCATTCATTCCCCTAATTGCCTGCAGTATCGATGTTTTAATTTTAATTAGAGATTTGCCTTCATCAATTTTTCTTTCATCCAAGTGCATTATCCTTTTATTAGCAGCTTCAAAAAACCCACCCAGAATTGATAACATATTTCATTAGGTTTCATGAACTTTAATCTGAAGATCCATGCAGCTGCATCTTTTACCAGTGTCCAGCCTGTTTTAAGTCAACTAAAACCAGACATTTGAATTTCTTCATGTTCACACGCACTGTCATGCTGTTTGCAAATCTCTATGAACACAAATTGAAATGATGTAAACCGCTCCTAAGTCTCAAGCATAAGAATCCTCATCTTATTTCATGTTCTATTTATATGACCCATACACAGCTGGGGTAAAATGCCTGTCAACTGACAGAAAATCACGTACATGAACATTGTTACGTACAAAATACAGACACTGCAAAATCAGTTTATTGAAAACTTGGAATTCTGCTTTACCCCAAGGTTTCCCTTTATCAGTCCAGAATTTCTCTTCATGTCAGATTTGGTTTCTATCAGATACAGCGCTATCTTAAAAAGGTCTTTGAGAAAAACTGCCCTAATGGCAAATACAGATGTAATACATTAGAATCTCCAACCATACACAGTTGTTGGAAAAATATCTGTAATTTTCATAAAGCACACAATGAAAGCATCCTGAACACACCCGCTAATGAAACCTTAAACACATAAAGCTTCTCAGTAAATCTCCAAACTTCTAGCATTCATTTTCAGTGAGAATGCTTGTTGTAACATGTTTTAATGTGTTTTACTTGGCAAGCTGTCAGAAAAATGCCATATATGACAGCCGTAAGTCTTGCTTCCGAAGGCACAAGAAGGAACAAACCTCAAACTGTTAATTTAGGCTCCTGAGAAACATTACCACAAAATTCTCGGTAGCCCTCTCATAAGGAGAATCAAGAGAACTTCCTGTAAATGTATTCATATTTATCCCAACAAGTCAGTTACAAGGTTACAGACATTTATTTCTTAACTCAATGATCATATTAACTAGCTTAGATCAGACTTATTTTCATTAGAGGAAACATTTCATTTTCATAAGGGAAACATAATACCCAGAAGAAAGGAAAACTCTTACTTCTCATTGCCTGCAAGGTAAAGCCCATGTTTCAGCTTTCCCTAAGAAAAAGGTTTGTTTGCTCAATGACACAGAAATGAGAATTTCAGCAAAATGAAATACACATCAGAACTTGGCTTAGGTCTACCAGCGGCAGATGGTAAATCCTTACGGATATAACATTAGGAGTTCAAAAAGATTACCTGGTTTAATGATGGCATCATCTGTTACATTAAACACTGACACTTTCTGCTTCCGTGGTACTCCAGCTTCTTTAAAAATTTCCATTGTATCCTCTGATTTCTGTAGCAAGGAGCAGCCATAAAGAATAAGTGACCTTAAAATACTCACGGATTTCTGTTAACTAACTATGCTACAGCTACCTTCTATAAACAAGAGATACATGAAGATTTCTAAGATCAGAAAAGGGAAAACTATCATTCAGAACACACAAAACACATTACTGCTTTGTAATGACCTTCCAAAAGTTGTGCAGTAATTTAAAAGCGTTTTCTCTTTTCCAAAGCTTCTAATGACTTGAGTTCCATGCCACCATGAATCTATTGGATTTAACTAACGAAACCACAGAAATACAGCCTGGTCCTGGAGAAACTTTGTGAAATGCTTCACTTTCCACAAAATAGACTCTTGAAAGAAAAATGAAGAATGTGTTCCTGATTCATGTATTTTTAACATATGCAAGATACACTCAGTGTCAAACTACTGCTGACTTCCTGATGGGGAGCTCTTCTTGTCAGAGGAGTCTGACAAAGTTAAAAGTGCTTAAAATAGCTCTGAGCTTTTTAACACGCCAACTCACAGAACAGCTGACAACTGAGATGACACCAAGTAATGCAAACAGTGATGCAGGAAAACTATGGCCACAGGAAAACAACACAGCTCATTTTTCTTCACAGTGTTCTAGAAAGCAATTTAAGCACCTGACAGACCTGTCACACTCAGAGAGTCACATCTCCGAGGTTCACTTCTCGGTGGTTCTGTGCAGTTCTCTCTCTCAGAAATAATTGTGTGTATGTTCATACAAAACATCCCTAATAACTTAAAAATGGGTTATTTTGAATATCTGCACGTTGCTCTTCCTTTTGGTTTTAAAAGTCTGTCAGAAAGTGTTAGGAGAACAGAGGAGAACATGAAGAAGGAGGGGGCAAGATGATGATGACCTCTGCCTTAGACACAAAGCAGAAATTTTAACGTCATGAAGCTGTCCTTATTTGAGAAGAGTGCGGATACAAAGTCCTTGAGAGTTAAGAGATTCTTTTGACTTGATTTGTTAACTTGAGTTCATAGCAAAGCACTTCAAATGCCTTTTAAAAAGAAAAGTCATCAACTAAATACACCTCCCCTAAGACCACAAAAATCTGAGGCATCAATGGAGGAGAACTGTACTAAACTGCAGTACCATTGGTAAGAATGAGAAAGAAATGAATCCCCTTTCTACTAACTGACAACATATCAAGCCTTTACTTCCACTGCTATGTAGAACTGCTGCCTTAGGTGACAGCAAGGGGAGCTCTGTGCTCAGTACAGGTGCCTGGAAAGAGCTACCACAGCTGAGGAAAAGCAGGTAGAAAGGCAGAAATCACATCTCAAGAGTCCTGCTGCAGCCTTGCACTGTTTTACTTCAACAACAAGCTACCTTCAAATAGTCAAGTCAGATAGATGGATTTTTACATACAAAACACTGCAGTGTGTACAGAGCCTTCCTAAAAAGCAGCACTGAAGAGAGGAATACCGAGTGAATTCTCACATGTTCTTATTCTTAAAAATCCCAACAATATATCCCAGTATTACAGGAAAATGATGGATGTGCCCTCCCTGAAGGGAAGCATATCAAGTATTTTTGACAAAAAAAAAACAAACAACTGTTAGGACACTGACAGGATTTCATTTAAAAAAATCATGAAAATTCCTTCCCTTTTAATAGCCTGACATCCAGCAACCTAAAAATGGGAAAAGAATCTTGCTAAAAATGCAATACCCCTTTATAATTTTGTAAGCAGTTTGACACTCAGAAGAAATGCATGAAACTCTTTGTTAGTAAAATTACTGAGAGAATCATTAGACTGAATTCATTAAAAATCAGTAACTGGGAGGAATCTCAGGAAGACAGATGTTCCTATGAGGAATTAACAAGCTAAGCTGCTTATGCTCCTACAATGCAGTATCATTCAGCTTCCTTTTCATTCCCACTTTCAGACATTTCAGAGAGAAAAGAAATACATAGAAAGACATAAACATAGGAGAGCAATGATTCAAACCTGAAGCTAAAACACAGAAAGAAATCATTTATTAGTACCTTAACAAAACTGGCATGCCAAATTCCTTCTTATAATGTATCTAGTTTATACAATGATGATGATGATAATAATAATAATACAGAGCTCAGTCTCAGTCCAGGTCCTTACCACAGATTGATATAAGTTGGAACTTGATGATCTTAAGGTCCTTTCCAACCCTAACTATTCTATGATTCTATGATATTTAATGCATTTCTTTATTAAAATGAGTCTAAATTCAACCAAATCAATAGGGACTAACTTGGGAAAAGTTATGTCCAAGAGTCTTTAACTTAATTCGAACTACTAAAAACCCCTTGATTTGTCTTTTTAGGTAGTTTGGCTTTGAAGAATTTTCTTAGTTATGAGAGCTGTGTAAACAGAAATTTTCTATATACCTCCTTGCTCCCTGCACGTTTTTACTCTGACAACATATTGAAACTGCTAACAAAGTCTGCATGAAACGATCAGCTGTGAGGCATCCAATGTGCAAGACATAACTTGAAAACTATTGTTCACATGAGCCTTGCATGTCTTAAACCACAGTTAAGAGGAAAGAAAAATCTCAGCCATCACTTCTGCAGGAAAAATGGACTGATGCGAGGCTAGAAACCTGAAAAGTAGGAGCAATGATGGTGAAACATGGCATACACCCACTGAATAGAAGATACTTTAAAATATAAGCCTGCTCAAAATCAGGATATACTATAAAAGCCATCAGATTTATCAGATGAAAAAAGCTCCTTCTTCCTCACCTCCACTAAAGTAACAGATTTATTTTGAGGTTCTGGGACAACACTGTTTGAAAAAGGGAAACACCATGTCCTGAAAAAGCCACAATCACCAACTCATCAGGTTTCCTATTTTTCACTCTCTAGATGAAGCAAATGAGTGTCAGGATACTGCAGGAAGTGAAAAGTTGTATTTTACAGAAATAAAGGATAATAGTGCAATCCTTTGAGGGAAAGCTTTGTTCCTGCTTTGATCTATAATTTAGTTTCCCTCCTCAGGAATGACAACTCTGCCAGACAACCTTAACCCCTGAAAGTGTCTGGGAATACCACATCAGGCAATTGTGGTGTCTGAACAAGTGAGTGGTTTTGATACCACTGCTGATGAGCTACAATCATGAAGCTATCCTCCTGAAAATATAAGTCAAACTATTCATCAGTAAAACTATATACGAATTAAACAATCTCAACAGACCTGTTGAAAAAAGAGTAAGCTAGGGAACAATGTCTTCTAAAGAACCCATGAAGCAGGGTAAGTTTACAACAGGCCATCAAAGCAGCTACCTTGCTGTTCTTGTCTCATACTGCTTCCCCACATAGTGAACACACATGTTCCTACACTGCTAATGGTCCTTCAGACCCTTTCACCAGCATGAGATACCACACACCAAAGCAACTTCCTAAAACCTACAGCATTCCTAGACAATCAAGAGCCAAACTTTCAGCAAGTTCTTCTTGCTATTCTCTTACCCAAGAATTGACATTAACATTCAGGAAATAAGCAAGGGTGAATGTGATAGATGACCAATTCCAAAGCATGCATGTCTGCCAAGTAATCTTTTAGAGAAATATACCTATGCCATTTTTGTACTGCAGTCACAACAGAAACAACTATTCTAACAAAGGCACCCAAAGTGGTTCACTTACAGAAAAAGGAGATACGTTTTTGCCTCCAACAATCAGCTGAGATGTTTTTTTACCCGACTCTTCTTTTGAAATGTATCTTAAAACATGACAATCTTGCACCTAAGGAAAAACAGCATTTATTAGAGTATAAGCAGATGTGTATGCTTTGAGAACATAGTAAGAGATTATCGAAACAAGTGAAACTAAGTCAGTCTCTGTTTTCATTTGTATCCATATAACAGGAGATAGGGCCTACAGGTAGGGAAGCATACCTTTTTACCACAGACATTCTTTTTCCAATCAATTAAAGGCTTATCTTACAAAAAAAGCTACAAGTATAATGCAAAGTATATGTTTATAAATGCTCTAGGAATCAAATACACTTTTGCCTGCAAGATCTGCAAACCCCCTACCACATGCAGGGGCAAGGCATACAGGAAGAACCCACATTTTTGACTCCTGCTTCTTCGCCTTGTAAACCTGATGTCCTTCACAGCCGTGGTCCACCTTATGGCAGCAACAGCTTCAACACAGTAGTAGCTGCCACAGAATATGAAGCAGCAGCTTCAGGGCTATAAAGGCTCAGAAACCAAGGTGGAACTAATCCTAAAGTGCCTGAAGGTGCCAAAACAACAAAACCCAAGTTGAAGTGGGGTAGTTAACGCTAGCTTTATGCTGCCTCCCATCTTCCCTCACCTGGGTAATACTACACATAGTTCTGCAGCTCTTCAATAGCTGAGGCAGAAGGCAGACTGGCATTGTGATATAAACAGAATAGGCACGGTGTACATGTATGCAAAGTTGAAAGATATCTTCCCTTTAGGGATTTCCTACTCTGTACAAGTGATAAATCTCACTTTTGCCTGAAACTTCTGGTTAAGGATCTGAATACAGTGTAGGAGATGAAATTCATTATTATTAATTTCACCTTAAGCAGTGTGACAGCATGTTTTTTTCCTGACTTGGTCCATATTGGCATCATTCCCAGTTTTACTGCAATAACACCAACTCTGATGGAACCTGTAGATCAGAAGAGAACATAGATGCTCTCTTAATATTTGAAAGAACCCACCTCATAACCTGGAAAGTCTCATTAACTTTCTATCGTTCTTAAGGAGTTGAAGGAGAAAAAAACATTGCTGACTCCCTTTGAGTAGGCTTGGAATAACCTGATCATTGATTTTAATCCCACTCACAGTAAAGTTCTATCTGTTCCAGCTGTGTTTGACAGAACATGAAGACTAGCTCCCCATTAAGATCAGAACAAGCAATGCTTCAGACTAAACTGGGAGGGGAAGGCGAGGAAGGAGTGTGTCTGGAAAATACAACACCCATGTAGAATATTACAGCCAAACTACTGAAAAGTTTACTGCAGGAGGTTCCTCCTACCCCAATCTTTGCATATTTTTATCACTGTAACTGTACAGCAAAGGCAACCTCTCAAGTCTGTGGCATGAAAAAAACAGAACACATGATGAAAAATAGATGCTTTAAAGTTTGGAAAAATGCTCTCTGCTCCAGTTTCCTCTGTCACACCTGAGGATCTTCTTGTGGATCCACAGACTGTCAGGTGGTTGTCTGGTGTCCCTTCTGAAGGCTCAAAACCTTTCTATTATGTTCTAGTCCACCAGACTTTGGGATCACTGAATAGAAGTGGGATGTACTATACACTACACCTTCAGAGTCCAGCAATACTTACAGGAACGTTTTCAGCTTCATAAACTTCATGCTCTACAGAGTCTCTTTTGATGAATTCTTAGTTTATTATTGTGCAGCGGTGGGACTGTCCAAGTGCTGACCTGGGCTAAAAGTGATGTTCTTACAAGGTTCTTAAGGCTTTTTAGAGAACTGCTATATTACTTATTCACTAGGAGATGCATTGGATGATGGAGGTAAAGGCAAAAAGGAGAACAAAGACAAAATCCTGGTGCTACTGAACGCAACAACACAACAACAATTTCAGCATGAGTTTGGTATCCCAGAAGGGATACTTTCTCACCTGGTTTCCATTCATTCACTGGCCAAGGCTCATCTTTCAGAGGGCACAGCTTGCTGGCTGTCTGAGCTTTGTATTCCTCCGCAGCTGACTTCTTGAGGAACTCGACGTTCTCTTCAGAAAGATGCTCATGCCACCACGTTGCACTGTCCATGTGCCTCACTATAAGGCCCAGCTGCCCCCTTTGCAGTGGTGGAAAAAAGTGTTAAGTGTCTTATCAGTTTAAATAGTGTCTCGTAACATGTATGTTCATAATGTAACACATACCTCACACCATAACATAACATAGTACACAGCCATGGAGACCCAAACTATACTAGCATGCTATTCAACCACCATCACTCAAACCCACCACCACCCAACACCTGATTCTTTGCATTCCCTCATCTAACTTTTAAAGTATTCGGAAATACACCAAAAGGGAGAAAGCAACACCAGATCAAACAATCACTACTTCCATCAAAAATAAAAGCTAGATTCATGAATAAAGACACAGCAGTGGGTGTTGCGTGTTTCAGCTTTAGCAAAGCTTTCAATACAGTCTCCTTTGGCATCCTTCTATTGAAGCTGGGATGTTATGGTACGGATGGGTGGGCAAAAAGCTGGCTGGAACTAAGGCTGAATGAGTCAAGGTTAATGGTTTGCAGTCTATAAGAAAGCCAGTTACAAGTTCCTCAAGAGGCTATTCAGAGACTTGTCCTGTTCCATACCTTTATCAGGGATGTGTAAGAGGGGATGGGTGCACTTTTCATAGGTTTGCAAATAAAACTGATGAGCTGATAATGCTCAACAGCATCCCAGTGCCAGTCAAAGGGCCAAACCAACAAGGAACCTGGTGAAATTCGCAAAGGAGAACCCCAAAGTCCCGCGTGTGGGATGGAATAACCTCTTGCAAAAGTACAGGCTACAACTTCAGCAGAGCTGCTCCCCAGTCAGGCAATGAACCTGGGAAGGTAAAGAAGTAAAGAAGGAGCCACCAGGCTCCTGGCAGCAATGAATACCAACAGCAGCCTGAGCTGCATCAACAGAAGCATGGTCAAGAGATGAAGGAGCAGTTACCACTCTTCCTTCCACACTGCAAGTAGGCCACATCAGCGATGCTAAACCCAGTACAACAGGGATGTTTGAAAACGAGTGAGTCCAGCAGTGGTGCACAGACGTACAGGTGCTGGAGCACCTGCCCTAACAGGAGGATAGAGACAATCGGGCTTGTTTAGTCTGAAGAAGAGGAAGCTTAGGGGGACCTGAGAGCAGCTTTTAAATACCTGTGTGAAGGTTACTGGTAAGACAGAGCCAGGCCATGTTTACCAAGGTGCAAGCCATAAGAATGAGAGAATTGGTATACACTAAAAAAGGGGTGTAAAAACACTAATTTTACATGCCCTGCTAAACAGCTCACTGTCCCGTTATGACTGCTGTGAGGGCTCAGGAAAGCTCGGACACCCAACCCTCTGCAGGTACAAGGAGGCAGTGTATTCAGCCGCACAGCCAGCGAGCACACGAGGCTAGCTGGAAGACGAGGCCGAGGCGAGTCAAAGCACGGAAGGTCAAGTCGCTCACAGTGAAGCCAAGGTGCTTTGGCTGCAACCCCGCGTGTCCCGCCACAGCAGGCTGCGGATACCACCGCGGCTTGAGGGCCCCAACAGCGCACCGGGGCCCTGCCACCACGCTGCCCTCTCCAGCGGCGGGGACCGCAGCAGCCGCCGCCGAGGGGAAAGAGCGGCCGAGGTGTCCCTCACCCCGCGGCTGCAACAGAGGCCGAGCCCCTTCTCCCAGCACCCTCCGCCCCCTTTCTCTGCAGCAGCCCCGTTCCCCTCCCTTTCCCTCTCCGCTACCTGTCACCGAGCGCTCCCGCCGCCGCCCGGAGCGGCCTCCCCGGCGCTGCCGCCCACAGCCGGCCCCCGAGCCGGCCCAGCAGCGCCCAGCCCGCCATGCTGCCTCCCTGCCGGAGCCACCGCCTTCCGGCGCCGCCTGGTCCGGCGTGGGAAAGCTTCCGCCGTGCCTCGGGAAGAAGGTTCCGGCTCCCATCGCGGGGGGTGGTGGTGGGGGGGGTGGTGTGGGTGTTGCTTCGAGCTCAGGTGTTAACATTAACCCGCCCGACCCAACCCAGGGAGGTGGCTGGGTCTGAGCCTTACCGCGCTCCGTTTCCCAGACCCGCCCATAAGGACCAAAGGCACTGCCGGGGGTTTAACCAGGCCCGGGCTGCTCCGAGCCCCGAAGGCCCCGCGGGTCAGGGCTGCAGCACCCATGGCTGGTGGGACACGGGGGAAAGACATCATGATGCACAAATAGGCATGGACACCCTTTCCCCCCAACCCCTCCGGCACTGCCGTCACCCCCGTGCCCCCATTCCGGATGCGAGCCAGTGAAACCCAACACGTCAGTGCCCATACGGGGCAGTGTGGGCAGTGCGGGATGTTTGTCACTGGCGAGCACTGGTCAGGCACGCAGGGTTGTGGGTTCCAAACCTTCCTTCTCCATGCAGGTGTCAGGAAGGTCCCCACTTTATCAAACCCCAGCAGGGTGCAGGGCTTACCGGCTTCAGGCTCTCCTCACGAGTGGGGAGGACATGGAGAGGGGTATCATTTAGTGCTGTATGTTTAATACTGGAACCGGTGAAGTAAAAGCATGTGGGGCAAGCAGAGTGTTTCTGTGCAGGCCTGTCACGGCACTGGCACCTCTGACTCTCTGGCCTCATTGAGAGCTGGCTTTCAAGTTGCTAGGAAGGCCAGTGAATGGGTACAAACCCAAGACTGCCTCTTGGCTTCAACAGGAGTTATCTGTTTTAAAGATACACACGTTCATTGGGGTCAGCTGAAGCCTGACACCGCTTCTCCTTTACTCTGCTGCTCCGGTTTCTTCCCCATGGCACAATGAGTGTGTATGTGATGCACTGGAGGCTCGTGGCCAGCTAACCACACCTGGAAGAGGCTGCAGCACCTCAGAGTGGGTAACTGAGCCGAATTTTGGTGTTCACAGCCCAGACCGTGACCCAGGGAACCACCAGCAGCTTGCACACACGCTCCTTGTCCTCTTAACAAGTGAACACAGAGCGGGTGCAGAAAAGCATCTCTCCAGTTCCCAGTCCCGCTGCTGTTCCCTCTCTGGAGCTGGTTATCTCTGCTGAAATTTAGCGCAAGACCCATAACTTTCCCCCATTCTAGTGGGGTCCATCAGTAGCTGATGCTGCTGCTCTGACAGGGCTTTCTATACCAGGATAAAGAAATGATCTAAAAAGGTTAAAAGTGATACCTCCCCATTTCTAAGCACTGCGACAGCCTCACAGTGCTGCTTAGTGTACCAAAGTCCCTGATAAGCAGACAAATGCTATTTATCCCCATTGTAAAGATGTGGAACCAAGGCACACAGCAAGATTAAATGACTTAACAGTCATGATGGATGTTCCCAGCTAGACAGGAGGGCTCTCCTGATGCTAGCTACCCTCCTTGCCACGGTATGATGCTTTTCTCACCTGTGCTGCACAGCTGAGGCAGATTTTCATGTAAGTCACACATGGGGGTGCACACATTTTGAAGAGAAAGGTTTTAATGCTGTACTTTTTTCCTCCTTTCAATACGATGGGGCAATATGAAACTGTTTCCCCCCCCCTTTTTTATGGTGCATGCAGCTTTTCATAATGCTAAAGAGGTCTGAACTCCTGTCAGTTTGTGTAGCACATCTTTGCTGCAGCTCTGAATGCAATCAGATTGCAAACTCACTGCTGTAATCAGTGGGACAAGAATTCAGGTGCCTCCTAAACACAGCAGTAAAAGGCTCTCTGCGCAGCAGTAGGAGTAAATAGCACTTTTTTGGACAGAAGGAGAAGGAAGAACAAGTGCCCATCACAAAACATTCATCTTCCCTTCCAGTCTGCTGCCTTGGGCAGTCCTCAGAACTGTGGGGATGAGATGGACACATCACTTTTGACCCGGTAGCCTTCAGAAGAGAGAAGTCACCTGGTTTTCACCTGATCAGCTTGGAGGTGCAATGAAATTGGAGAAACAGAAAAGAGGGGGGGTGAGTGCAGCCAGCTGATGGTTTGCAGTGAGTATGGCAAGCACATGTGCAGCGGGGCTGGCCAGTGTCACTCATACAGCTCTGTAATTGCTGGGATTACCTCTGCTGAAGTGCAGCTCCTCAGCCCAAGACTGCAGGTACAAGTCAGACATATGATTGAAGGAGGATGCATGGTGCTATAAACTGTATTTTGCTTGTGACAAAATGGCCACAATTATCTAAATAAAGGGGAGAACAGCCTGAGAAGTGTAACCTTACCCTAGCTCATCCTTCCCATTCAAACATCATGTGAATGTCAATGTGTGAATGCTTTGTGCCTGAAATGTCCATGCTCCTTAGGAGTAAAGGGAGTTTGTCTTGTACCTCTTTCACTCTGGAAGTTGGAGGTAGGTTTAAACTTACATAGCAGGTGTGAGTGCAAGACCCATAATCCCAAGTGAGAAAGGTCAGTGTGAATATCCCCTTAGATTCTTCCTGGGAGTAAAGCCATGTCCTGTTTGTGCAGCCAGAAAGCCATGTTGCAGGAAGGTAGCTCTGTTTAACTCCTCAGCGAAGATCTGACTGCAGTAACAAGGTTCACTAAGCCACATGCTGTTCTATCACGGTATTTAGTGTGTGGGTAAAGCCAAGGAATGGTGCTGAGTGTTGCAGAGCTCTCTCATAGAAATCTGCTCAGCACTGGGGCCTTCCACATGTGTATTTGTTGGAATATCACCTCTGCAAGCTGCAGCAAGCCTTCGCTCAGACCACTGCTCTCCATGGGAGTTAGCAGGTCTCTAACAGGTTGTAGACCTCTGAGCTCTATCAGTGTGTACCATTGATACTTGGGGACTAAAAGAAAAGAAGTGTTTTAAAGCAGAAGTGGCATGGTTTAGAGCAAGGTGTCCCTGCCCATGGCAGGGGGTTGGATCTAGATGATCTTAAGGTCCTTTCCAACCCTAACTATTCTATGATTCTATTATAATTTTATACCTGTAGACTCTTTTATCAAATGCCATAGAACACTATCTGCTTAGCATGGTAAAAATAAAAACTTCACATGGGGAGGTTTTATCTTGGGGTAATAAGCAATTAGCAGTGTATTAATGCATATATTTTTTAGATTTATTGGAGACTTAGTTTCCCCTTCAGAACTAAAAGTACTGCTCAGCTTGGAAAAGAGAAGGCTGCGTGGAGACCTCATAGCAGCCTTCCAGTAT